CCATCCAAAATCCAATTTAAACACATTCACTTCACTCACGGTTCTGCTGACTCAATTGGTAACCAGCAGCCCTGCCCCCGCGCATCTCACTTCTTATCACTGAGGTCCTCCACGTCTGTAAATCCAGCCTCTGCTCGGCAGTGTATTATCTCTGTGCTTCAGTCTGCCCTCACCGCCTCAGAGCGGATTCCTTCATGCTAACCTTGCCCTAAGGAAGCCCGTCCACTTTCATTTATTACAATGTACATAAACTTTTGTTTATTCCTTACAGTCTTCCTGAAAAGGCAGTTTTAAAAATTCTCAAAGTAATCTACGCCGTCTGTAAAGTCTGTATTTACTGTATATTACTAGCTACTGGGGTCAGTTCTTTTCTGTGATTATCTGTTTCTGCATTACACTACTCTCTAGTATATTTAGACATGAATTGTATTACTACAGTGTTTACAGTAATGCAGTGGTGCTTATAGATTCTCAGCATAAATAAGGTCTGGCTAAATAAGAACCAGATTTCCATACACCAAATGTGACCATAAACCCTTTTTTTTTGTGATTTACAGTTTTCTACATAAAATCATCCTTCATGAGGTAAAGAACATTCTGTGAAAATGCAACCTTGATATCTTTAATATTGACATAGTAAGGCCATGTCAAAGATTGAAATCATAGTGAAATTAGTGGTTGAAATCAAACTTTGCTGCTTGTTATCTCATAATAAATAAATAAAATAAATATATACACTATTATTCAAAAGTTTGGGGTCGGTAAGATTTAAAAAATGTTTTTGAAAGACGTCTCAAAGTTAGTGTTTCTATTAATATTATTATTATTATTTGAAAGAAGTCTCAAGGTTATAATTATTACAATTTAAAACAAGTTATCTTCTATTTTAATATATTTAAAAATGTAATTTATTTCCTTTTTTTTTTCTTCAGTAATCAAATCAGCAAGTAGCAATTTCTCCAGAAACAAATTTTGTTATTATCAGTGTTGTAAAAAAATTGTGCCACTTACCATTTTTGAGAAAAGATCATTCTTTAATGAATAGAAAGTTTAAAAAACCCACTATAATCCTATTTACGATCACCTTTAATCAATTCAATGTATTCTTTTTAAAAAATCGTAAAAAGCTTTTGAATGCTGTGTATATATATTTTACACTGAATAAAAAAAGAACAACAATAATTATATTTATCATCATGATGATAATAATAACTTAAATATAAAAATAAAAAATAAAAACTTACAAAATGTGCTGCATGTGGTAATATCTAAATCTAAACTTTAAAGGGGTCATATGATGCTTTTTTTAAAGATCATTATTTTGTGTATTTGGTGTAACAGAATATGTTGACATGCTTTAATGTTCAAAAAACACATTATTTTTCAAATACTGTACATTATTGTAGGTCCTCTATGCCCCGCCTCTCTCAAACGCTTCGTTTTCTACAAAGTCCCTCCTTCCGACAAGCGCAGTCTGCTCTGATTGGCCAGCTGACCCAGTGCATTGTGATTGGCCGAACACCGCAAGCACTCGTCGGAAATGCAACGCCCCTTACCATAATCGCGAGCTTCATCTTTCAAAATAAATGTAAAGACAGAGCCCGAAAGGGGAACAGAGTCTCGTGACAGACACAGTGATGAATATGTGTTTGCAGTACACAAGCCACGGTTAAGACAGCTGACTCCACTGTGATGTGTCTCGCTCTCTCTCTCTCTCTCTCTCTCTCTCTCTCTCTCGCGCTCACACGCACGCATACAGTTAACTGGTTTTATATTACAGCAATTTTTCTGTTAAAATTATGAACATTTTTGCAGTCTTTTATTCCTGTGACTTTAAAGACTTCAGCGCAACTGAAGTTGTTTCCAGTAGAAGGGATTTGACACTCTCCTTTATGTTTGGGATAGCATTGATCTCTGCACGGCAGACGTAGGTATTGACGTTTGATGAGACGTGTCCTTTGAAGAATGGAACACTTAAGACTGTGTTATCTGCTGTAATCTCCCTGTGCTATAATGACTCTGCCTTCCAGCTAAAGCAAACACAGGCACATGGTCACCTTCCTGCTGCACAGTTAGTACAGGTGGATATACCATATGTTTAGAAGTAGATTGGGCTCCAAAAGTCTGAGACCTTGCTGAAAAGCTGTGATTTTTTTTTCATTAAACCTTGAAATGGAAAACAGAACAGAGAGTTTTAGGACTCTGGAACATTCAAAACAAAGAAACGTTATGACGTAAAATTGAATATTTAAGATTCAGCTCTATTTCTAGATCTCTAATCGAATAATTCAATTTGTGACTATGATAATGTGATTCTTTGTACAGACAGTCAGATGTTCTTGCTTCCATAAAAGCACAAGATGGTCTTTGGGTGATCTGAAATCATGCTGAAGAATATGATCATCAGGTTTAAGTTCATGCAGCTCGACTGCTGCTCTCACTAATGCAATAAGAGGGACAAACCAAGGACCTCATTTATAAAACATACACACAGATTTGATATTACAATGCGTGTACATTAAAATCAAGGTTCAATATTTATAAAAGCGGTCTTTAATGTGGAAAAATGCTTAGTGCCATGTCAGGGTCTAAGCAGATATACACACTTTCCTTATGGCAGAGAGTTGAAGTTCTGCAAGTATTTGGGAATCAAAGCTGTTAAAAATTTGGAAGTTAGATGGCGTTTACAAGGTTGCGATCTGAAACCACTCAGTTGCACACAATTTGAAGAACATTTTGAGTTTATAAATTTCACATCTGAAAGAAAGGCATACATATATATTTTTTTTGTGCATAAGTTCGTTCTCTGACATGTACGCACATTCGAGAAATTATCGTAAGATCAAATGTAGGATGGTTTCAAATTTCATTTTAGTTAAACTATCTCTCAGTTCATTTCTGATGATATAATTTGAAATGAAGAAAAAACTAGTTGTTTCAGACTTTTGGGCATCAGTGTTCCTCTCTCGAGCTCTATGTATGTTTTTAAAAATGCTTTTAAAAATGGTCAGAGTGGTGGTGGGATCAAAACAAAGAGCTTGAGATTCGAAACTGCCCTCAACCTGTAAATGATTTCCTGCTTTCTGAGGGAGGAGTGACATAGATCTAATAACACAGATGGAATGTAAACCTCTTTGAAATCTCTCATCTCTAAAGTGTGCATGCACATTTTCACCTATAACCTTCAAGCTCTAATCTGTTTCATTTTTTGCCAATGATTAATTATGGATTGACACATTACAATACAATTTACCCATTTGTTATTTGTTATTCGTTATTTGTTATCTGCCAACAATATCTTTACTAGTAGACACAATGTGTATTAAAAAAATTATATGGCACAAAGTTGTACAATTGCAATCATTTTAAGCAGCTATTAAATTTACATAATTATTTCTACTCATCTCAGTGACAGGAGAAACATGCATTTAACATCAGTTTTAACTAGAGGTTTGTGTTGTAGTCTGTGCATCAAATGGGATTTTTTTGTTCTTGATTTGTTCTCAGTGAAGTTGCAGTAGCAGTTTGGGGCTTGGCAGGGTCAACTGATTTTCCCATCAGTCTGACTGTGGTGTTCTCTCACCGGCACTGCTCAGAGCAACACTGCCTCTCTGTGGAGGAGCCCTGCTCCTTATTACCCATCAACCCCATATGACTCCAAATGAGCCAAGAGAACAGGCTCAAAGTGCATTAGTGGCTTCTGCTCAGAACAAGAGCAGAATTCAGGTGACGGCTTGTAGAATCTGAACCGCATCAAAAGAAAAGCTGTGAAGAAATGCTTAAAGAAATATATTTAGTACTGGACCTCACAGACTGACGACTGACGATTCATATAATTACTGTAGCAAAATCTCCCCAAGGACAAATAGAATGATCTGGTTGTTGCTCATGCTCCAGATAAACAAACAAATTAAAATCACTGCCCCAATTAATATCAAAGGTATGGTATGTTATATGCTACCATTTCTGAACTAAATGGATCTTTTGATGAAAATCACTTTGAGCTTCTTTTTCAAGTGTTCTGTTGACTAGGACAAAACACACAGCGAGACTTTCCCTTTTAATTAAAGAAAACATTTCCACTAAATGAAAGCCTTCAGAAATTCCACTGACATGAATGTCAGTTTGATTAAAGATGTTACTTATATTCAACCTGTGTATTTGAAGAAGGTGCTGATGGTATCCGGTATGTCTGGATGTGCAGACACGGTTTAGTCTTTTGCCAAAGATTTGTTTTCATCCAGTGATTTGAACTGACTAATAATGGAGGGTCTTGAGGGCTTTAATGCCAGTTGCTTTATTGCTTTATTGCACTTTTGCAACGGATCTGTGAATTTGAGACTACCAAATATTGCAACTCTGCTTACAAATTAAAGTACTTGGTGAATCTTCTCTAATCATCTAAAATACACTACTGTTCAAAAGTTTGGAGTTGGTCAAATTCCCATATGCTCACCAAAATTGCATTTATTTGATCAAAATAACACTTTTCTTATTTTCATATATTTAAAAAAGTTATTTATTCCTGTGATGCAAAACTGAATTTTCAGCAACCATTACTCCAGTCATCAGTGTCATATGATCCTTCAGAAATTATTCTAATATGCTGATTTGCTGCTCAAGAAATATTTCTTAATATTATCAATGTTGAAAACAGTTGTGCTATCTTGTGTTATCTGTCAGATAAATCTTTAGTAACTCTTTCAATGTTTTTACAACCACTTTTGATCAATTTATTGCGTACTCGCTGAATAAAAGCATTTTTTTATTGTTTGAAAAATCGTACTAATCCAAAACTTTTAAATGGCAGTACATGTCTGAAATCAAATGATCAATTTTGTACACTCAAATCAAAAGAAAGAAAAGCAGTATGCAGCCAAGTTAAATGTGTGCAAGCTTAGTATTTAAGTACAAACTAAATTAAATATTTTTTATGTTTATTGGTCATGCATTCAGCAAAACAGAGAAAAAAAGAATCAGTGTTAGATTTAAGAAATATCTACACATTTGTTTTCAATACATAGGTAAGAAAAATAGTTTTGCCTCAATTCAGCTGATTTACAGACTTGATTCTAATATACTGATATCAGGTATGTAAGTCATTCTGTGGTTAGATATATTTATTTAATTACCACTAGACTGCATAATTTATAGTTGTTGCACTTCCTGTGCAAATTTCATGTTCTATAGTCTATTTCTTTTCTCATGATGAAATAATTTAAACTCAAATAAATCAATATATTATGTACATTTATATGGTAAGTAGCTGTGTTGGGGTAGTAAATAAACTGATCACCCTATCTTGGCTTATTTTGTGCTATTGAGTGGCTGGCTGTACACTATTTCTAACTTATAACTAGCTCCACATGGAATCAGAACTCTGCAGAAAGTTCTGAACGCCTGTCATTCACAAACTTCTGCCTCCCCTTGGGCGTTTGTTTATATAATATTTTGACTAATTTGATTACGCCTTTAGCTACTGATACAAGTCTGGTGCTCTCAGCTCTCCTTTTTCCATTGTAGAATTTCCAATAAAATCAGCACAGAAAATGTAAAAAAAATAAAATAAAATAAAGTCAGTAAGCTGTGTTTGAATTTGCTCATAGCAGCACAACAACTCTCTAGCACGCCAGTGATTTGAGAAATAAAGCTACCTTAAGTTTTAATGGTGGTGAGAGTTATTTGGTTCTTCTTTGTAGTTTGATCCAAATGCCCTTCTCGGGACGCAGAATGAGTTCCCCCAGAGGCCGCAGTTCTTCACGGCTCTGACACGCCTCTACGTCAAAGTGACGCAAGATCATAGCAAGAACTACCTTCTCCTCCATCATGGCGAAGCGCTGGCCTGGAGCCACAGACGCACAGACAAAGAGAAAATGGGAAAGAGAGAATAAGGTCTCAGAATGGCAACAAGGCTAAGAGAGGGGGCAAGTTCATGAAGTAAATTTCTACAAATGCTCTTATTTGGAGCTTTCGTTCCTGGAAGGCAGTTGGAGATGAGTCGAGTGCTGAAATAATAAATCTCCAAAGGTATGTGGCTCTCATTCAGTTTCGTTAGAAGCTTCTTCTTTTGTGTGGCCAGCGACCTGAACCTGCGAGCACCACTCGCTGTGAAACAATCTGTTTTATTCAGAGGTGGGACAGAGGCCCAAAGGGAGGATAAGTACACTGCATCTATCTTTTAACTATCCATGCTAAATATGCAGATTGACTCTTGGGTAAAGTATAATAGGAAGAGAAACTCCACTTTAAACGTTCTTGAGAACGTTCTCGTTTTTTAAAAGTTTAACTTCTTTTAACTTGAGCATGGAATTTTTGGAATATGCGCTCAACGTTCAAACACATCCATCTAGTGTGTTTATATAGAAAAACAATGTAGAACAGTAGAATGGAAAAACGCATTCTGTGTGTCCAATCCTGCTCCTGAAGCACCAACATCCTGCAGATTTTTAGCTACAACCAGATCAAAAACACTTGCCTAGAAGTTTCTAGTAAGTCTGAAAACACTGATTAGCTGGTTCAGATGTGGCGGTGGACGGTGGCCCTCCAGAAACAGTTTTGTACACCCCTGACAAGTTCGGAGGATGTTATATGACTAGGGTTGGGAACCAAGAAATTTATATATTGGAACTGAATGACGCTACTGATTCTAGATTAGGAAGCAGGCTCAACATGTGTAGTCTGTTTACAGAGCAAATGACTCTAATGAGCGGTTTTATTTTAGTGAATCAAACACATTGCATGAAAAGTGTAGTCCAATTCCAAAACAAATGTCTTTAGTGAGTCAGTTCTTTTTAGTTAATCAAACACATACTGTAGCGCACAAGAAGTATAGTCTGATTCCCAAGCAAACATCTCAAGTGAGTCGGTTCTTTTTAGTAAATCAAACATATCATGCTCAATCAGTGCAGTCTAATTCCCAATAATGTCTCAATTGAGTCAGTTCTTTTCAGTGAATCAAACACGGAGCACACAGCTACAGTAGTATAGTCTGATTCCCAAACAAATGCCTCTAGTGAGTCAGTTCTTTTTAGTGAATCAAACACATAGCGCACAACAAGTATAGCCTGATTCCTAAGCAAACATCTCTAGTGAGTCAGCTCTTTTTAGTAAATCTAACATATACAGTAGTGGACAGCCAGCGCAGTCCAATTCCCAATAATGTCTCAATTGAGTCAGTTCTTTTTAATGAATCAAACACATATCACACAGTTAGTATGATTCCCAAACAAATGTCTCTATATCTAGTGAGTTGGTTCTTTTTAGTGAATCACATACTTAAATGCAACCACTGTATATTGTAATGTGATTCCTGAACAAATGACTCTTATGAATAATTTTTTTAATTAATTAAAAAACATAAAACTTTCAACTAACTGTGAGACTTAAATCAGCATAATCTTTCAATTCTTTACGATTCCCTTCCCTATACATATGGCCCATCTTATACAATGTGTTATGGTACGGTTATGGTACAGTTTTAAAGCTTTTTATCTTATGTACCCATCAAAAAGGCTCAAGTAACCCCTCATCAACACCAAAACAGAAATGTGTTAATTTTTTACAATAATTGATATTATTCTGGATAGAATTCAGCATATTAATTTCTATTATAAGTCAATTTTACACCAAAATCATTATCATTCTGTTCTTTTTCTTACCAATGCAGTTTCTTGGCCCTGCAGAGAAAGGGATGTACGCATATGGATGCCTCCCATTGCTGTTCTCTGGCAGAAACCTTTCCGGTCGAAATTCCTCAGGTTCTGGAAAGTAGCGCGGGTCCCGGTGAAGAGCATATGGTATGATAACAGCATTCACTCCTTTTGGGACCTTGAAGCCATCTGCAACCGAGCAACACAACAACAGCAGTCTTTCAATTATGTTATACATGTCACATTTTTTAACAATTGATCAGGACACTGCACCACTACATTTGGCTTAGCACACACCAAACTATACAGCTGTGTAGGAGACAGAATAAAGCTTTAATGGGGTGGTTCACTGTTTTTTTTCTAGGCTTGATTGTGTTTGTGGGGTGCAGTCTAACATGTGTTGATGCTTCGTTTTTTAAAAAACGCATTATTTTTCACATAATTTACCTTTATTCCACACCGCTCTGTCCCTTCTCTGAGAAACGGGCTGATCTTTTCCTTCTTTTATGAAGCCCCTCCCTCAGAAATAGGCGATGGGCTCTGATTGGTTAGCTAGCCCAATGTGTTGTGATTGGCTAAACCGCTTCTAGTGCGCGTCTAAAAGTCTGCCCCTCACCTCGTCGGCATGTGCTCCGGTTGTATTGTAAACATTGCCATCGTTAATATCGCTTATCAGTTTGAGCCCAATTGAGAAGCAGAGGATATTATTAAAGAGGATCGTACAGAACCTGTGCAAGCACTGCTTTTAATGGTAGGCCTATGTTTTTTGTTTGTTGCTGTCTCATACTTTTAGATACGCTGTTATTTGTAAATGCTGCTGCTTATGTTAGCTTTTAATATACGGTTTTATCCTGATTAAAGCTTTAATACAGTACGGCAACTGCACGCACGTCCATGTTTAAATGCTTCTCATAGCTATGTGAAAATAAGTGTATAATTGGAACAGTTCATTGTTGGATCTGAGCTGAATGAGAGAGAGAGAGAGATGCAGAGCGTGTGCAGAGCAGGGGGACGCGAGAAACAGTATTGAGAACCACTGCTTTAGAACATTGATTTTAAAACTTGTGAATCCATTAGAATCGAATCGTTAGAAGACAGAATCTCGATTCATATTTGAATAGATTTTTACGTGCACCTCTAGTTTTCTCTTCCTCTTCTCTAAAGCAGCGCAGCATGGTCTCACCCCCTTCATTACATGTTCCCCGGGGCGGGGTTTATCTGGGTTTGTGATGTCACGAACCCGGGAAGTAACTCGTTGTAGTCCCTACCAGCTGTTTTTGTAGGCATTAAATTGCCAGAATTTTAAAAGACGATATCTCCGTTTGCATTGAACTTTCAGCTTCGTAACTTTGCAGATATTGTTTATGTTCAAACAGCAACATTAGACACTAACAAACGCTAAAAAAGTTAAATCGCAATGAACCACCCCTTTAATAAATAATTAATAAACGGATACATTTATTGTGTTTTGCAACACTTTCCATCCTAAAAAGTTGCTGTTTTCCATCCAGCTGCTTTGGCGTGAAAGAATCTTAGTTCTGAGTAGAAATGAACACTCCGGTTGCTTCATATTTGACAATGGGAGATGGAAATAGAAGCCGTGACATCTGCTGTTATGCTGAGGTGCAAATAATGAGAGTGGCATCAAAAAGTGCAGATCTTTGATCTGGCAGTGTTTGGCAAGGTGACAAACTGCTGCCACCTACTGATCTGACAGCTCTCGCAGATGCTGCGTGCAAACAGAGGCACGGAGGGGAAGATCCGCAGACTCTCCTTGATGACACACTCCAGGTAGCGCAGCTTTTTCAAGTCCTCCACCCCCACGTGGCGGTCTGACGAACCTGCCAATCAGAACACAGGAGATGCAGCTAAACTCTACAGTAAATAAGGTTGTTAGAAAACATTCACAAGCATCTAGATGCTTTCTCGACTACTCAGCGGAACTAAACAGAACAAATTGTTTTATGAAGAACACATGGTAGGCATTACGCTCAATAACACACGCGAGAAAGACCTTTTTACCGAACACTTCCTGTAGTTCTGCCTGCACTGCCTTCTGGACCTCAGGATGGGAGCCAATCAGATGTAAAGCCCAGTTCATTGAAGCTGCTGTGGTATCATGACCCTGTCAAAGATAACAGTTTTTCAAACAATGTTCTGTCTTCACAGAGTTTCCTTTTGTAGTTTTATTTGTACCTCAAACATGAAGGTGTCCACTTCCTCCTGAATGTCCTCATGACTCAAATTCTGTCCATCCTCATAAGTAGTTTTTAACAGCATATCTAGGAAGGCCTGTCTTTTCCTAGGCCCCTGGTCAGAATCACAGTCAGGTTCAGAGCTCGTGAACTTTGCTCTTTCCTTGATGACCTTCAAGAAAACACAAAAAATTCTGTAATAATAATCTGACACTCATCTGTCTTTTTTGGCTATAGTGTGTGCCATACAGAACAGAAATAAATCACTTTTTTTAAGCAACCTTATCTTGACATTACATTGTGTTATTGTTAAATAATAATTTCCTTAAATTGAAATAAAGCTGAAATAAACCTGGCAAGTAAAATAATTCTAAGTAAATAAGTAAAACTAAACTGAAATAAAAGATATAGCTAAATAGCTTATAGCTAAATAGCAAAACAACTATTTAAATATAAATATTTGAAAACTAATAAAAAAAGACAAAAGCACATAATTCAATTACTAAAACTGAAAATGTAAAAATAAAAACTAATTCAAAATATTAATTAGTTATACAATAGTGAAGGGTTGATTCAGGATAATTGGGATATTTCATCTCAATGGCAAAAAGTGTCCCAATTTACCTAAATTCACCCTATAAATAATGATGATGATGATCACTCACACTTGCAGTGAAGGAATGGAGAATCTTCAGTCTTCTGGAATGTTCTTTGCCTTCCTCTAACTTATTGTAGATCCAGTCTGGCCACAGCCATGGTGCCCTCTGTCTCTTGGCGATGATGTCACTCATCCTGCAAGAGTAATATAAACACTGTCAGTTCTTAGAGAGAACAACATGGCTTTCCTATGTATTCCCTATGCTCTACCATTGAATTACACTACTTACTTATAGACACTTTGGACATACTCAGAGTCAGAATTGCTCTGAGCATAGATCTTCTTTCCCATTGCAGTTTCTGTTGTAGACAAACATATCACACGTGTTATTAATAGTTATTAACTAAACAATAAGCGTAAGGCCTATTACATTAGCATGCATAAGCAGTATGCAAACAGCAAAACCTCAAATTGTGCTTTCCCACTTTATATGGAAAGATCGAATACCGTACCGCATATGATATCCAAAGCACATAATGTTATGTAGCTGAAGCAGTTGAATGGCTCTCCGTCCATGTGCTTCTGCATCTTTTGTATCAAAATATCGGTTTGTTCGTTCATCACCTCCAGGAAGTCGGAGAGGATGGAGAAGTGGAAGGTTGGAGTCAGCATTTTCCGCCGGTTACGCCACTTCTCCCCTGTGCTGTGGGAAGAAAAGTTGGGAAGAGTCAAGTATGTGACCTCAACATAGCTATAATACAGTAAAGTGAACATGGAGATCATTTTATATTCAATTTCGGTGTTTCTGGACTCTGCTGTGTTTGGACAGATGGCCAGTGACCCTGTGTCCAGTGTAGCTGATTATAAACTACTGTGCTTTTGATAGACTTTGTTTGCAGTGCTTGATGCAAGCTGCTTTTGAATATGAGATATGAGATCTGCCAGTTTGGCAGGTGGTCCTCTACCGTATGTGAAACAAAGTTTAGTTTGACTTTAAATGTTTTGAGCTTTGAAGGACATGATTGCAGCTTTTTAGATAGAGATTTTAGATATAAGACAGCAGTACTCTTAATACTCTTAAAACATTAATGCTGCTCAAACATTTAAAGATATAACCATAATAACCACAATTACATATGAATGTATTTAACAAGTGTTTTTTTTTCACAAAATGTGAATATTTAAACTGCATTTGAGATATTTGTATTTTAAATGTAAAATTTAGATTTTTTTTAATTAATATTTTTTTGTGGTTTTCTGAAGCTCAGTGGTGCTGATATGCAAGATGCAAATTCACATGCATGAACTGATAAAAATGTACACCTTCAGTGCAGTGTTCATTTCTGCTAAATATTGTACATAACTGTAAATACCCTCAGAAAGTACTGAAATAACAAAATTATTATAATTTTTTTTCATTTTGGGTCAATGCACCTGCCTTTAACCATTCATTTTTTAAACACTCCCCTCATTACCATTGGTCAAAAAAAAGAGATAAACCCGGCCCAATCTCATTCAATTGGTTAAGCCACTATTGCTGTTTATTACACAATTTTTAGTCTATTCTTAATATATATTAAGAAAGAAGAAACAATTTTAACTTCTTTTAGCTATTTTACTGAATTTACCCTATTCATCTACATAATACATCTACAAATCACGTATTATGTTAACAGTGAGCATTACAACAGACTGTAAAAGAATTATAAAAAGAAAGTAATTTTCACAAAAATGGTGGTAAACCCACCGTACCTGGTGAGCAGGCCTGTGCCGAGCCAGGGGTGCAGGAACCTGTATGAGTATGACTTGTCAAGGTGTCTGGAATTGCTGAGGACCACCTGATGGGAAAACATAGGTTTGAGAATGAACTGGCAACTGTGAGGAAAATTATACACAAGTAAATGGAAAAGATATAATTTCAGTAACAGGCACCTCAATATTCTCTGCATGATACAAGATCAGAAAGGGGACTGGACCCACCCACACCTTTGCTAGAGGAAGGTGTCTGTTTTCATTTGTGCCCTCAATAATCTGGTTGAAAAAATCTTCAACATAAACACACTTTTATAATTTTGCAGTGTTAACTGATCAATGTTAATTGATGCTAGTTAAAAAGAACACAGTCTCTTACCGCCTGCATTGGCTTTAAACTGCAGTGCATTGCCAATGATTGGATAAGCGTAGTAGATGCCAATAGAAGTAAAAGAACGGCTGTGAATATAATCCCTAAAATGTATAATCCAAAAAGGACGCCCATTTTGTTTGGATGAAGCTGGCCGTAGCTAATGCTCTGAAAGAAGCGCACATGCTGCTTCACCGTGAACTTCAGACTTAACTGTTTCACTTGCTTAGTACAAACAGAGAGAGAAAACACCCTGGGCTGATCAAACAGATGGAGTTATGATACCTAACTGGGACGCATGCAGGTTATCTGTGGGTAAAGGGCTTCTCGCTAAAACATTAACAGACAACAGTGGTAATGCAGCAATAGATAATGATCTGGCATATTACTGGTGGCTTTTTGTATGTGTGTTGTGGTTTACTGGGACAAATTCTCCCATGGAAGAGCTCTGCCAAGTCTTTTATTAAAGACAGAAAAGCACCTCTGATGATCATGTGATATATCACTGAACCTTTGCCAAATTATACAACCATTTATTGCTAATGACTCCAGCAAGCAGATAAAAGTCTTAATCAAATTTTGCTGAACCAAACAGTTTGGTAGAATTGATATCACTGCAAAATAAAAATAATTAGGCTATGAATTGTCTTTTAATCAACCTGTTGGCCGCAGACATCTGTTTAAGCAGTATAAACAAATAAATATTATACTTTACATGAAATATGCATCAACTTACAATAACAAAAGAAGATTGGCATTCATTCTTCATCATTTTAAAAAAAGGTAAAAAACAGGGAGGTCATTAGCCCTGTTTGCTCCAGATGTTGAGGTCAATGTGAAAAACTGTCAAGTCCATAAACTGAAGGCACTGCATGTGACTGGACATCAAGTAACAATACAATACAGCAAATCACAATCAACTGAAATTATGACAGTGCATATCAGTCTATTGTATTCATAATCATATGGCTCATTAAGCTCTTTTGTTTAATTACAAAATTAACTCCGATGCTATGGCATGACAGGTTGAAATTTCTTCCTCACATGCACTGGAAACCGGCTCAGCTGTTTCCGGTGATTCTGGCCACCTGAAAGCAGATGGTATTGATGAGCAGACTCAGACTTGATGAAATATTTTCATTTTGTGAATCTCTTCTTTACCAGGGCCGTGCCTTATTGAACGTGTTAATTACTCTCCAGTGTCCCAAAAGCTAAATAAATAAAATTCTCACAAAAAACTCATATATTCCTTTTAATTAAAGCCCCTTTGTCATTGCTTATTTTTTGGATCATTCATTTGTTGATTCTATGCAGTCTATGGAGTATACTCTGCAAAGTTAATTGGTTCAGGCTTTAAAGTTGCATATTAAGTAAACATAAACAAAAGGCAATAGATTTAAACTATGTGACACTAACTAATAAACTGTTGTTTCTGTATTAAATTAAAAATAATAAGCAGTAGTGCATTGACCTATAGATCCAATCAGGGGCATGTTCCCTCCATCCCCGTCAGCGCTGGGTAGACACCTCCTGCTGGGTGTGACACACTCCAAAAACCCACTAGCTGTAGAGCTGGTGATGCCCATACTGAAGCCTGTCACTCCCATTGGTGTGCTCTCACCTAAGAGACATACAGAAAAAGCTTACATTACATCTTATTTTTCTTCTATGACTTATTTTTAGGAAGTAAAACTGTAGAAGGCAAATCCATGGTACTGTATGTCTGTGTTGTTCTTCCTGCCACTGGCCAGATCAGGCACCTACTCAGTAAAAGTAACCCACCTTTGACAAGTCCTCGACTTGTCCTCATGTTACAGGCAAAATCCATGGGTGTGAAGGACCTTTTCATTGGGGTGTCAGACTGCAGAACAAAAACATGGCATGAGTTACATCTAACAATAGACTCCTCTGTATTTACCTCCTATTTCAAGCACTGTTACCACAGCAGGAAAGTATCTATATCACTTCCGTGTTAGGGGTGGTGTCATGTTTCTACAAAGTTGTATAGAAATGCAGTTTTGGTATTTGGATTTGTTCTACATTAAACTGCTGGTTACCTATAGCTATAACTGCATAACATCTGATATCACAATGACTACTACTGATTGTATATGTACGTCGTCAAGACTTCTGTTTAATGTACGTGTTGTCATCTGCAATGTATGCTGTTTTCATCTACACTACTGTACTGTAATCATAATTGCAGGGTAGATTTACTCTGAATGTGTGAGTAGTATTGGGCCGAGACAGAGACTCCAGCATCAGGGTGGGCTCTCTCAGAGGTGGGAGGTTGTTTACTGCGTGCATGACACTGGTAGCGCCGCCTCTTAGGATCCTTCCTCTGAGCTAAGAAATACAGAGAAAGATTACAGCTTTGATTGTGAAACCAAACTAAATCAGTGCAGACTGAATAGTCAACCATCTTTACTTGCACAGAACTGTTTAAAAAATATTCCTTCCAATTCAAATTTAGGTATTATTTTTAAATGCTCTGAATTTTCTGTAAAAGGGAAAAGGGCAACCATGTTTACTGTTTTCAGTGTCAAGTCAACCAGACCATGGAGTCAGTATGCCCCTTTCACCCATTTAAAAAACCGATGCTATCTCTGTTTACAGAGATCAGAGTCCACATGGCTAGCTTTTCTTTCGTGGGATGCCGGAACACCTTTCTGCTTGTGGATTTACACTTAAATTCTGTCCAAAACCAAAGGCAGCTGGTCTGCTGAAAGGTTTCAGATAGTTTTCACCATAATGTCAAATAAATTCAAATCTAATTCAAATGAGATAGCTTTGCAAATATTTTATATAAGCAAATATTTAATCACTACAGCACTTGCTTCCCTGTTAACAGCTGGAAATTAATAAATGAACATCTATGAATTAATACAACCACTCCATCTGTCTGTATTTTAATTATTTTCATTAACCACAAGTACATAATTGTGGGATATCATTAACCACGAAGGACATATATTCTGTCTTTAAAACCGAACTACATGAAGTCATCTTTGCAGACAGGATGTTTCATAAACATTTGATGTCTAATTAACTTCATGTATTGCCTGTGAGGGCAATATTTTTTTTCAGGTTTTCAAAGTCATAGGATGGTTGGTCAATTCTAATGTGTTTGGTTTCACTAGAGGTGTGAAAGACAAGGTTGACATAGACTTTATCACGTATAGCTAGTATAAGGCAGTGGCAAATTTTAAATCCAACAGATTATGTTTGTGAAATATGTATGTTTCATGTATATACACTACCATTCAAAAATGTGGGGTCGAAAATATTTGTAACATTTTTAACCAAGCCTATGTGATCTATGTGAAAACTCATATATAAAACACAGTACAAATATTAATATTGTGAAATATGACAATTTAAAATAATTTTTTTCTATTTGAATATTTTCCTGTGATGGTATCATTACTCTTCAGTCTTTAGTGTCACATCTTTCAGAAATCACTCTAATATGCTGATTCACTGCTCAAGAACATTTCTTATTATTATTATCAATTCTTAATACAGTTGTGCTGCTTAATATTCTGTGGAAACCATGATACATTATTTCAGGATTCTTTGATAAACAAAGTTCAAAATAATTACTTGAAAATATATATATTTTTTAAACAGTGTATAAGTCTTACATTTTTATAGAAATTCATTGCATCCTTGCAGAATAAAAATATAAATTTCTTTCAAAAAGAAAAAAAAATCTTACTGACCCTAGACTTTTGAATGGTAATGTACTGCAAGTATGTGTGAAAAAAATAAATCAAGGTGGCGAGGGAGTAGCATGAATCTCTTCAGATAGGCAGATCAATAGTCTGCAGGCCACAGTAACACTGGTGTGGCTTGTTACCTGCACAAGCCTGGAAATAGGTGCATAGTATTCTTGCTCTTGAGACTTAGAGTGTATCTGAGGAAGCCTGTGGCTCTGAACTGCACTCACCGCTGGAGAGGGCAGGCTTTCATTCACAGTGGTTCTGTGCGAAACAAACCCAAGAACACATACTTACTCTAATTAGCATTCTGCATGTTTATCCATGCCTGATACCCCTGCAGGAGCTCAGGGCTACTTCAGTGATTTTTGCAAGTGATGACAAGGTTAAAAGTGTTACAATTAATAAGGTGCAATCCAGCTTGAGGGACCAATTTAACAAGCGCTTTAAAAGAAGTCTGCATTTCAAAAGAAGGCCTTGACCTGTTATAACGGGGCCCCAGTAGACCCTGCATTGAATAATCTGCAGCCACATATTCTGAAAGAATTGCATCATGCATAAAGGAGTTGCTGCAACAGAACCTCTTCATGTAAAACTTGTGAGGATATAAAATGGTGCACGCAGAGGTATAGTTCACCCAAAAAAACATTCTCAGAGGAGCACATAAGAAGAAATTACGCTTCACACGTTACAATGAATTGGGACTGGAGCTTTCAAGCGTCAAAAAGAATGCTACAAAAGTATCTTAAAAGTATCATAAAAGCGGCCCATATGTTTTGTGTATTACATTCTAGAGCCATATGATAAACAGTTCAAAATCGTTAATTATACACAATCTCCCCTCCAGGGACCTGTTAACCACCGATCAGTCAGTCAGTGAGCTGAACTTAAGAAGTGAATCGGTATGATTTATCAACAAATCATTCAGACCAGTTTGTTGAACTATGAACTGATTCAATTGAAAATATCTGACTCAAAAGAACCCCTGGGGGCCACGGATGAAGACTTCCTCTGATTCACCTCCTCCTCTTCCCTACAGTCAAAAGAATTACGCAAGTTACAACAAAATATTCCCTTCTGACAGAATGCCTTAATGCCTTAGTCCATTTATGGTGAATAAAACTGCAGAAAACAGAGGATGTAACGAGGCAGCATAGTATTTGCAGAATTCAGATGGCCAGTTACTGAATATCTATTGAAATGCAAAGAAATTTGATTCAATGGAAATCAAGAGTAAGGTAGTCTGGGGCTAGTTGTCACAATGACTACTGCATATCACAGTGCGTTTGAGTCAAAGATCCAGTTATTTGAATGTGTTTACTCACAGATTGTTATTATTATTATCTCCAAACTAAAATTTAAATATAATGATATTCATGATATTCAATATCATGCATTTAGTTTTATATGAGTACGTTGTCATATGTGTTCTTAATGTTATGGAAAAAACAATACATTTTTACAATATATTTTTTATGACAATATACAGGTATACAAGCTTAAATAATAATAAAAAATAATAATAATAACAATACTTATATATTTTTGCATGTTATCTTTTACACTTTTGCTTTTTAATGAATTGTTTTGTTTTTCAATTATTAGTTTACTGTTTAGATTTTGCTGAATAAAATAAGCTGTTTAATAGCAGGTTACATTGTGAAAACCAACCATTACTGAGACATATTGTCATAAAAGAGCGTTTAATGAACTGTATCTTTTTTTCTTGGGCAGTACCAGCTGAAATGTTTTTAGAAGTCTTTTTAGAAGCTAAGAATTTAAGGTATGTGTATTTTCAAAAATAAATCTACAGTGAAAAATATTCATCGGAGTAAAAAAGTGTGACAACTTGCCTCAGTCTTCCCTACAATTATGGTTTGTTTATGAAGGAAAAGCAAAAGCTATTTCTGCCTCTGTTGCATAATATTAGAGGGGAATGATTCATATTAAATTAGTATATTAAGAAATATATAATAAAAAATTCTTAGCAGATTGAGTAAAGGATAACTTGTAACGTACATTTCTTTTCCATCATAAGCCAAAAACTCCTCAATGCTGCCCTCTGCTTCATACACCTCCTCTTCCTCTGAGAGGTTGAGTGAATGCTCACAAAGCGGAGAGCTGGAGCTCTGGACAGACTGCTCACACCAAAGTCCCGGGGCCAGACTGCGGCCTGCTACATACAGCCTGCAGGCAGAGGGAGAGAGAGAGAAATGAGGGAGGAAGCAAAATCCCGCCACAGCCAGGCCAGACTGATAAATGCATCGCCTGTGGACATGTTCAGTTCAGTGTCTTCATAACATATTGCATATTTTTAATCAGGTGAGAGGCCTCCTCCTTGAGGGTTGGTTTTATGTGTTATATCAAATGTATAATGTATGATAGGCTTCCGTGCATATTTCAAAACAATAGATAAGTACAGTCAAGCAAAAAGAGTTATGCCCAGGAACCAATCAATAGCTTGAGCCCATTAATCAAGAGAGAAAGGACCCCAAACATTTTTCGTAAGATAAGACCGACCTTAAAAAGTTCAGGAGTAACTCCAACGATAAACATAATATTGTGGTAAATTGTACATAACTACAAGAAATTGTAGAAGAACATTAGTTTAAATTGAACTTCTACATATTAAACTACATATTTATCTACATATTCTACACTAAAATCTACATATATACATAAAATGGTATTATATTATATTATATTATAATAGTAATTAATAATAATAATAATATAATAGTAATTATATTATTATATATACACACTTTATTTTAAGGTCCAATTACGACTTTTGCCTCAGTAAACTCCTAATTTTATGCTTATTAATAGTTAGTAAGGTAGTTATTAAGTTTAGGTATTGGGTAGGATTAGGGATGTAAAATATGGTCATGCAGAATATGTGCTTTATAAGTACTAATAAACATCCAATATGTTAATTACAGGCATGCTACTAAGCAACTAGTTAACAGTGAGAATTGGTCCCTATACTAAAGTGCTATTATATTATATTATATTATATTATAGTTAAAAAGTTTGAGGATGGTAAGACTTTTGAAATAATTCTCTTATGCATTTTTGCATGTTATCTTTTACACTTTTGCTTTTTAATGAATTGTTTTGTTTTTCAATTATTAGTTTACTGTTTAGATTTTGCTGAATAAAATAAGCTGTTTAATAGCAGGTTACATTGTGAAAACCAACCATTACTGAGACATATTGTCATAAAAGAGCGTTTAATGAACTGTATCTTTTTTTCTTGGGCAGTACCAGCTGAAATGTTTTTAGAAGTCTTTTTAGAAGCTAAGAATTTAAGGTATGTGTATTTTCAAAAATAAATCTACAGTGAAAAATATTCATCGGAGTAAAAAAGTGTGACAACTTGCCTCAGTCTTCCCTACAATTATGGTTTGTTTATGAAGGAAAAGCAAAAGCTATTTCTGCCTCTGTTGCATAATATTAGAGGGGAATGATTCATATTAAATTAGTATATTAAGAAATATATAATAAAAAATTCTTAGCAGATTGAGTAAAGGATAACTTGTAACGTACATTTCTTCTCCATCATAAGCCAAAAACTCCTCAATGCTGCCCTCTGCTTCATACACCTCCTCTTCCTCTGAGAGGTTGAGTGAATGCTCACAAAGCGGAGAGCTGGAGCTCTGGACAGACTGCTCACACCAAAGTCCCGGGGCCAGACTGCGGCCTGCTACATACAGCCTGCAGGCAGAGGGAGAGAGAGAGAAATGAGGGAGGAAGCAAAATCCCGCCACAGCCAGGCCAGACTGATAAATGCATCGCCTGTGGACATGTTCAGTTCAGTGTCTTCATAACATATTGCATATTTTTAATCAGGTGAGAGGCCTCCTCCTTGAGGGTTGGTTTTATGTGTTATATCAAATGTATAATGTATGATAGGCTTCCGTGCATATTTCAAAACAATAGATAAGTACAGTCAAGCAAAAAGAGTTATGCCCAGGAACCAATCAATAGCTTGAGCCCATTAATCAAGAGAGAAAGGACCCCAAACATTTTTCGTAAGATAAGACCGACCTTAAAAAGTTCAGGAGTAACTCCAACGATAAACATAATATTGTGGTAAATTGTACATAACTACAAGAAATTGTAGAAGAACATTAGTTTAAATTGAACTTCTACATATTAAACTACATATTTATCTACATATTCTACACTAAAATCTACATATATACATATAATGGTATTATATTATATTATATTATATTATAATAGTAATTAATAATAATAATAATATAATAGTAATTATATTATTATATATACACACTTTATTTTAAGGTCCAATTACGACTTTTGCCTTTTATGCTTATTAATAGTTAGTAAGGTAGTTATTAAGTTTAGGTATTGGGTAGGATTAGGGATGTAAAATATGATCATGCAGAATATGTGCTTTATAAGTACTAATAAACATCCAATATGTTAATTACAGGCATGCTAATAAGCAACTAGTTAACAGTGAGAATTGGTCCCTATACTAAAGTGCTATTATATTATATTATATTATATTATATTATATTATATTATAGTTAAAAAGTTTGAGGATGGTAAGACTTTTGGAATAATTCTCTTATGTTCACCAAGGCTGCATTTGTTTGATCAAAATACAGTAAAACATTGATATTATGACATATTTTTTACAATTTAAAATAACCGCTTTCTATTTTAACTATTATATTATATTATATTATATTATAGTTAAAAAGTTTGAGGATGGTAAGACTTTTGAAATAATTCTCTTATGCTCACCAAGGCTGCATTTGTTTGATCAAAATACAGTAAAACATTGATATTATGACATATTTTTTACAATTTAAAATAACCGCTTTCTATTTTAACATTTTTTAAAATGTAATTTATTCCTGTGATATCTCCAGCCTTCAGTGTAACATGATCCTTCAGAAATCATTCTAATATGCTTATTGGATGCTTACGAAACATTTTCTTCATATTATTGTCAATGTTGAAAACAGTTGTGCAGCTTAATATTTTTGTGGAAACTGTAATACATTTTTTCAGGATTTTTTGATGAATATAAAGTTTAAAAGAACAGCATTTATTTGAAATCTTTTGTAAGATCATAAATGTCTCTACTGTCACTTTTAATCAATTTAATGCTTAATGCAATTTTAGTTCTTGCTGAATAAAACTATTGGCTTCTTTAAAAATCTTACTGACAGCAAACTTTTGAAATGTAGTGTATCTAATTATACTCTTTAAACTAATTTACTGATTTTATGACACCTGACTTAAAGCATTTCATACAAAGGAGGGGTGAAACACACTGCCAGTAAACAATTAGGGTTTCTTGGAAATAAATATCTGAGATTTCTGTTCTTCCCTGACAAGTTTTACAGGCTTTTTCCAACCATCTGCACTGGCCCTCAGCCAGACAGACCTCCATCACTGCTCAGTGCCCTAAATGGAGACTCAAGAGGACTCATTAATCTCACTGAACAACTATTAAATGGAACCACATATAAATCACAGTTTCATTCATTCTGTTTTCAGTGAGAAAACTTTTATACAGTTTAAATAATGAAATTATTCCAGCTGTGAGCTGTTATATCCTTAAAACAAAGCAACTAATTAATAATGGGCATACATTTTCATTAACAGTAAATCTAATCCATGTATATTTGTTAATTTTTGTTAAAATTAATTTAGATAATTTAATGTTTTTGAGGGGCTTACTCGCTATGGTCTTCTCTTTCGTCCAGACAGCTGGGTGTGGAGAAGAAGGAGGTTCTGGCACTGGACTCTCGTCTGCAGATGTACTGAACACCCTCCTGTTTAGGAGGCTCCATCTGATTCCCTAAAATTCTGTAGTCAAGGATGAAGCACAACAAGACAGTATCAGTTAGCAGGGTTGTGCAAGCTTCAGAAATTATTTAAAGATTCCTTTTCAATCCTAATTCAATTATTGAATTTGCTGAATTTGGATTTTGATTTAAAGGGGATAAAGTAAAGCAATACAAAACTTGGGAAAAAAATCTCCATTCCTAATTTGTGAATGTTAGCCTATATTATAACAATCAACAATGCCTTGGGCAGTTTCTGTGAAGTAACAAGAGGCAGCGATGTGTGATAGTGCTTTTATACAACAGCTCAAAATATGTTAATATTGATTAAGTTGCTTGTCACCACCCACTCAATGTAGAAAACTGCTCAATATTTTTTGTGGAAACTGTGATTTTCTTCCCCAGGATTATATGATGAATATAACGTTTTATTACATTTTTTTTATTTTTAAATTCTAAATTTACCTAACCCTTTTAGCCACAGAACAGTCAAAAAAAAAATTTCACAAAGGAGCTGTACCTGAGATGAGGGGTGTGTCCGTTCCACTCCTCACACTCCTCCTGCAGTGACTCCGAGCGGCTGCTGACTCTCCCCTCATATAGCAGCTCATCCACAGAGGTAAAAAAGAGCTGACGCACACGCTGTGTATTCGCCCGCTCAAACTCCTGCATGCAAGACAAACCAAACACTAAACCACTTGATGCACAAAGCAAATAATCCCACAACTGAGGAGATGGTGCATCTAGTGAAGCATTTGAAACAGTTAGACGCATGCACTAAAAACAGGAAACTGGGAGAGTCATTAAAATTATACACAGAACAATGCCCTGATGTCTCTTATTGATCTAGTGTTAGTTATTAGGTGCATATTAATTATAATAAACTGCAGTGTTGTATGCTATTTAGAAATTTACTGAGAATTAATTTTACTCTCCTACAGATGTTGCGACTTGGACACCTCACCTCTCCAAGATACCTTGAAGGACCTATCCGAAAGGTAAGACTCAAACCACTGGCGTGCGGTTCCTGAGATGCCATTTTCCAATAGGGTTGACAGGAGAATCTGGTGTCATAGGCTACATTACATTTACATTACATAGGCTACTATTACATTTAATTACATACTAATATGATGCATTATTATATGCATTGTAAATTATGCAAAATTACAGCATTCTACAGCATGTAGAGTTCTCCTTACTTTGTCATACAGTGTCTCTCTCTCTGAATAATATATGTCAAATAATGTTCTTATTCTTTTCTTCCTGTGGGGAAGCATCCCAGCCAGAAACTACAATAGTTTACTATGAATGAAATGGAAATTAAATTAAATACAATTAATTGTGTAACCAAAATAACAATAATGGTCAGAAAAAAAACCGTAACGTGTGACTTTTAATTATAAACAAGCCCGAAATACACCGGGACTCTTATTTTGAAATGTCTATACTATTGCGGGCTGATCCTTCAGATGAAAGAAAAAATATGCATTCTTACAACCGTCTAAAACATATTATATAAAGGTCATAAAGTAGACATTGTCATAATTCATCAACTCGAGTTCATAAGCAATCGCTTGGCATAAATGTGCGCTTTTCATTGATTGAGAATCACTTTGAAGCAGTCTGAACGCGCAATAGCGCCGCCTTGTGACACTGCAACGTGCAGCGCTCTTTTTTTCTTTTTGAAATCATTTCGAAGTTTAGTAATCGATAGGCTGTGTCGAGATTTTAGTTTTTCCATCCCCAAAATATAAGACGACTTAAAATGATCATTAATACGTTTGTTTTACCATTTCATGTATTGAAGACTTTATTAACTGAGCCCCGAGGCACCCCAGTAGCTAGATGTTGCGACTTGGACACCTCACCTCTCCAAGATACCTTGAAGGACCTATCCGAAAGGTAAGACTCAAACCACTGGCGTGCGGTTCCTGAGATGCCATTTTCCAATAGGGTTGACAGGAGAATCTGGTGGCATAGGCTACATTACATTTACATTACATAGGCGACTATTACTTTTAATTACATACTAATATTATGCATTATTATATGCATTGTAAATTATGCAAAATTACAGCATTCTACAGCATGTAGAGTTCTCCTTACTTTGTCATACAGTGTCTCTCTCAGTGAATGGTACACAGATTTTACTGATACTAGTCAAATATATATATTGAATAATATATGTCAAATAATGTTCTTATTAAAATTTAAGAAAAACTCACCCGGAGGGATTTTGCTTTATTCGCACACGTGCTCCTTAAATACATTTTACAGTGTATGTGTGGGTAAAGTCTATGTGTGGGAAGCACTGCAGACATCCATCAAAACATCCTCCATCCATAATATTTCCTTCTCCAGTGAAAAAAAATCATCTTGTCTGAATCAGGAGCGAAATGTCACGGATCAAGCACTGTTTACAAACAAAAACAGTCCAAAACAGTTCTAAACAAATATGTTGGAGGATTTTGATGTAAGAGGACAAAAACGGATTGTCATTTTCTCTGGAGGAAGCATTATTAATAATTAATTATGCAATGGTTTAAAGTTAAAATGCTTCAATGATGGATTTGTTTCTTACAAACATGCATCTTTTCACTTCACAAGACATTGACTGATAGACTGGAGTCATGTGGATTATTGTGATGTTTTTATCAGCTGTTTGGACTTTCATTACGGCACCCATTCACTGCAGAGGATCCATTAGAGATCAAATGCTAAACTTCTCCAAATCTGTTCCAATGAAGAAACAACCTCATTACTCATCGACATCTTTGATGGCTTGAGGGTGAGTACATTTTCAGCAAAATTTCATTTTTTTCGCTGAACAATTCCCTTAAAACAATGTAATTTAAGTCATGAAAGCGACATACCTATAATGATGCAGTATTTATACAAAAATTTGCAAAATAGTTTTAGATGGGGCATAGCATGTCACCGCAGGACATATTCAGTCCCAAAAGCATTTCACGTCAAGTACAACTAACTATTTATTTTACATAGATAAAGAAGATGCAAGACCTCTCTGTGTACGCAGGAGCACAAACTGACACCACAGCTACAGAAGACGTAACGCAGAGAAAGGGGAAAACTAATTAGCGGCGGGTGAGGGCTTCAACGGTTGGCAGGGGTCAACAAGGAAGCCCGGCATCAGTAGCAGCTCAGGTTTCTCTTACAGAGCAAACAGCAAATAATTTCAGCAGGTTGCCCGCCAGGGCCTAATGAAACATGCATGACCAGCAAGGCAGCAGAAAGCCTCAACTGACTGACATGAATTATTTCTCTTGTCTGCCTTTTAGCAGCAAGCACAACAGGACAGTGATTTCACTCAGGACGAGCCTGTCAAATTTTACACCATTCCAGGGTACAAATAACATTAAACCTGACTTGTTAAAACAGTTCTCTTGTTTAACATAATTAAGAAAACTCACCCGGAGGGATTTTGCTTTATTCGCACACGTGGTCCTTAAATACATTTTACAGTGTATGTGTGGGTAAAGTCTATGTGTGGGAAGCACTGCAGACATCCATCAAAACATCCTCCATCCATAATATTTCCTTCTCCAGTGAAAAAAATCATCTAGTCTGAATCAGGAGCGAAATGTCACGGATCAAGCACTGTTTACAAACAAAAACAGTCCAAAACAGTTCTAAACAAATATGTTGGAGGATTTTGATGTAAGAGGACAAAAACGGATTGTCATTTTCTCTGGAGGAAGCATTATTAATAATTAATTATGCAATGGTTTAAAGTTAAAATGCTTCAATGATGGATTTGTTTCTTACAAACATGCATCTTTTCACTTCACAAGACATTGACTGATAGACTGGAGTCATGTGGATTATTGTGATGTTTTTATCAGCTGTTTGGACTTTCATTACGGCACCCATTCACTGCAGAGGATCCATTAGAGATCAAATGCTAAACTTCTCCAAATCTGTTCCAATGAAGAAACAACCTCATTACTCATCGACATCTTTGATGGCTTGAGGGTGAGTACATTTTCAGCAAAATTTCATTTTTTTCGCTGAACAATTCCCTTAAAACAATGTAATTTAAGTCATGAAAGCGACATACCTATAATGATGCAGTATTTATACAAAAATTTGCAAAATAGTTTTAGATGGGGCATAGCATGTCACCGCAGGACATATTCAGTCCCAAAAGCATTTCACGTCAAGTACAACTAACTATTTATTTTACATAGATAAAGAAGATGCAAGACCTCTCTGTGTACGCAGGAGCACAAACTGACACCACAGCTACAGAAGACGTAACGCAGAGAAAGGGGAAAACTAATTAGCGGCGGGTGAGGGCTTCAACGGTTGGCAGGGGTCAACAAGGAAGCCCGGCATCAGTAGCAGCTCAGGTTTCTCTTCCAGAGCAAACAGCAAATAATTTCAGCAGGTTGCCCGCCAGGGCCTAATGAAACATGCATGACCAGCAAGGCAGCAGAAAGCCTCAGCTGACTGACATGAATTCTTTCTCTTGTCTGCCTTTTAGCAGCAAGCACAACAGGACAGTTATTTCACTCAGGACGAGCCTGTCAAATTTTACACCATTCCAGGGTACAAATAACATTAAACCTGACTTGTTAAAACAGTTCTCTTGTTTAACATAATATCAAGTAAAATTTTAATATTTAGCTTAGTGTATCTAACTGTGTATGTTTGTATGTGAATTGGGTTCTTGATGTTGTGTTATCTATCTATCTATCTATTAGGGCTGTGCGATATTGAAGAAAAATGCGATATGCGATAACTCATTAAATAATGAGTGAACTTCTATAACTATCTTGTGTCATATATACTGTATATATGGTTATTTGAATGTATGTATATGTATCAAGAGCTCCTGTAAAACCACAACAAATTCCTTGTGTTTGCGCACACTTAAGTGGTGAATAAAGCTCATTCTGATTCTGATTCTAATATAACTAGCATACATGTTTCACTTTTTGTGAGAAGAAAGCACCCCTACAACAACTTCTGAAAGTGAACGGTAGTGTTTTACTCTAGCATTACATAAAAATGTTATTTTAACATGAGTTTAGGAACTGAATAATAAAAAGGAAAAATACAACACTGCTTAGTATTTACTCTATGAATTCAATATGCACTGATTCTTATTTAAGCTACAGCTTAAGTTATTTAGGTAAGAGCAGTGAGTGATTTTCTCTTTGTCTTTTGTTCATGGCCCCAAATATTGCAAGCCGTAGCGATATGCATATTGCGATATGTACATTTGTGATATTTCGATAATTTCGATATATTGCACAGCCCTACTATCTATCTATCTTTGCCATCTATAATTTGGAAATTGGTGCCTTGTATGACAAAAAAAAATTGGTTAGTGTTATATGTAATTTTATGGTATCTGTTTGTGTGGGGGAAAAAACTAAAAAGTGTGGAAAAATATTTCTCATCAACAGTTTGAACTAATGTACTTGTTTTATTTTGGATGTTTTAGACATTTTTCTCAAATTTGATGTTTAGAAAATTCAGTAAAACTCAAACACCAGTTGTCACTTGTTGCATAGGCCTATACAGTATGGGATATGTAGCCTATAATAAGGATACTGGCATCCCAAACTAAAGAAAGAAAGAAAGAAAGATGTTTGCTATGGAGAAAATGCATTTCTTAAACAGTGCAGTTTAACCCTCTAAGCGCCAAAGTCGCGAAATTGCGACAAGACGTCATACTTAATCAAATAGACAGTAGTTCCTAATATGGTGTAATATCTCATTTGTATTTCCTACCACTAGATGGCAGACATGTAGTACTTCGATTCTAGACCAAAATTACGTCACGTTACTATTCAAAGTGTTTGAGGATTAACTACACGTTTTAACTGCTTAGTGATCCTTCACCATACATTTGATAAAAAACAGCAAATTTATTCTTAACACAGCAATGCTCAGCTTGACTCACTGAACCATTTCTAAGGCCTTGTATATTTCCATTCCACATTTATTCAGAAGACACAATGCCTGGAAGGCAGTAGTCTTCCTTTTTAAACATGCATCAAAAGAAAGCTACACTTTTGCCTTCAACAATTTTCAAAGATCAGCTCTAGCGAGGGACTTCAGTCGTAACTAAATGCTGGTGTAGATTGAGCAATTAGATACGCTCGTGCCAAAGGAAAGACTATACCCTGATTCTATGACATTAGTCTTGTATTAAGTAGTTATCAAGTACTGAGCACAATTCAATTAAATATTGAAGCTCGTGCCACAAAAGAACACAGTTTTGACTAGGCTTTTCTAGGTTTTATTTAGCCTATTAGACACACACAGCACTAGCCTAACACTAGTGTTGCCCCTTATTCCTCAAGTGCATGTGTAGCAAACTTCTTAGATAGAAATTCCCAAGACATTTAGGCCTACATTTAAATAACAAGGACATCGTAAACATTCAAAGAACCTACAGATTATTGTTCTAAAACTCCAGTGAAGCACTTACTTGAAGCTGTCATCTCTCTCTGGAACCGGACTCATATTGTCCTGAGCTCTTCTTGTCCTCTTCCATTGAAGTGTTCGCTCCGAGTCTAGCAGAGGCTTGGTGAAACCACAGCGATAATGTCTGTCAGAAAAGCCATGCTGGAACCTCGGTCCGGTAGAGCCGCCGCTCGGCTCATTGCGCTCTACGGTCACCTGCATTAAACACCGAGACTGACAGCTGCACCGCGCTGACAACAGACAGAGCAGACGACCTGTCACTCACGAACCGGTCTCTGTCACTATCTGCCATTAACATATCTTAATGACAACCACAGTGCAAATTCTGGGGAAGCTAATAGAAGAGTGTTGCTCCCCTCAGTGAACACAACACTAGGCTGAGGGGTTCTCAGAAGTGAGTAGCCTAGCTATTGTTTTTACACATACACACGAGTGTATGTAGGTCTATACGTTTCAAAAGCGTCTTAAAAGAACGTTTAAATAACCACACAAAAAATTACAAGTTAAAGTCAGAACGCTCAAAAAAGGCTGCGTTCGCTAACAAAAGTCGAGAAGTAACCATGGCAACAGTTCTCCGTTCTAGCGCTTTCGGTTAGAATTCGTTCAGAACGATACATAAACAAAACATCAAAACTGTAGCCTAATTATTTATCGGGGGTTTTTTTCATCACAAAATTGGCGTGTATGCTATATCTCAAAAATTTCCATTCAATGAAATGTAATATACATTTACGTTTAATTTAAAGCGTAAAATTGAACGGTTGCAATACAGTACAATAATGTAAGCCTACACAACTGTGGCCAAACAGTGTGATTGTTACGGTCAAACCAATTAAAGATCCAAGACACTTAAACTCTGCCCTGAGGAAATAAAACAGAAAGTGTAGGCTACTAATCATCCTATAAGTGAACCCCCCCCACCGCAATATATCGTTATGATCACAGAATCATAACAGTAATCATAACGAGCACTAGAGGGAGCCACAGAACAGCAAATACCAGTGTTACATTTAGGTTTGCTTTTAGCACTACTCACATCATAAAAATGTCTTTAATTTGAACATACTTTCCAATATATGGAACCAATTACTACTAATCATCCTATAAGTGAACCCCCCCCCACCGCAATATATCGTTATGATCACAGAATCATAACAGTAATCATAACGAGCGCTAGAGGGAGCCACAGAACAGCAAATACCAGTGTTACATTTAGGTTTGCTTTTAGCACTACTCACATCATAAAAATGTTTTTAATTTGAACATACTTTCCAATATATGGAACCAATTCACGACTTCAGTAGCACAAAAGGCTCATTCATCAGTGAAGTCAAAGAATTAGTATGCCGTAGTACCTCTTGGGATTTTTTTTATTAGTTTGGCTTCTGTGTAAGATGGGTTTGAGAAAAGGGGACATGTCTCAGATGAAAACGTATGTACTGTACTGTACAAACATCACATATCTGCCAGTATCTTATGAAAGGGCGATAAACCATATTTTCTATTTTAGTTATCAAAAACGTATGTTACATGAGGGACAAAAACAATAAATACGGACACTAAATCAGCAATTAGGGAGCATTCAATAAATCAAAACTATTATGATTGTTGTTTGTTTCTCCATGGAGAAATCACAGTTTGAAATCACTGATCCTCAGATTCAATTCCTTTGAGGGCCAACATTGAGCCCATGTGCTTATGGTGCTTCAGTGGCTAGTTTATTTATGAAAAGTGCGTATAAATAGTGCAAGAGGATACTGTGTGGTCAGGGTCATCAGGTCGGGGGCAGTGAATCCTAGGAGGTGGAGAGATGAATAGCTGGCGTCGTCTTGGGAGGGCCGGCGATGAGAGGTATTGAAAGGTCATGTTGAAAGTGATACACCCATAACTCAAGCCCCCCCCCCGGTCACCCTCCATTCACGCTGTCCCTTCCCTTAACATGCCGCTAGGCCAGCTTTACGTCTTTGTTAAGACTTTTCAGTAGCCAGAGGAAGAATGTCTAGAGTCTACTCAGACCTGACTGATTCACTTTCCATCCTTAAATGTTTTGGTACTGATGGCATAAATAGCTAGGTTTGCTACATAGTTTTAAATGGATTTAATGTACTTAACCGTGCTTCAGAGTAGTTTAAGATGTATTGTTGCCTATGCTAATAAACATTATATAGAAATATATATTTAAAAAAATACGTCTTTGTTAAGACTTTTCAGTAGCCAGAGGAAGAATGTCTAGAGTCTACTCAGACCTGACTGATTCACTTTCCTTTTGGTACTGATGGCATAAATAGCTAGGTTTGCTACATAGTTTTAAATGGATTTAATGTACTTAACCGTGCTTCAGAGTAGTTTAAGATGTATTGTTGCCTATGCTAATAAACATTATATAGAAATATATATTTAAAAAAACGTTCCCATATTATATATAGACTACAGTGCAACAGTTTGGGATAAGTAAGATTTTTTAAATAAATTATTTTATTCAGCAGTGACAATAGATATTTACATTGTTACATTTTTTTCAAATTTAATAATTCAAATAAATGCTTTTAAATTAAATATTGAAAAATAAGTAATAATTAATAAATAAATAATTAAGCAGCACAACTATTGTCAACATTGATAATAATAAGAAATATTTCTTGAATATCAAATCGGCATATTAGAATATTTTTTTAAATATCACGTGACACTGAAGACTGTAATAATGCTGCTGAATATTCAGCTTTGCAATCGTAGGAATAAATTACATTTTAAAATATCTAAAAAAAAAACAGATATTATTATTTATATTATTTAAATGTATTAATATTTCACAACATTACAGTTTTTCTGTATTTTGGTAAATTAAATACTGTATAAGAGACTTCTGTCAGAATTCAAATAAATAAATAAAAAATCTTACCAACCCCAAACCAATAGTGTAGTTTTAGGAAATTTAGGAAATAATTCACTGAATCATCATAATATTATTTGAACAAGAAATTGGCAAATACAGTAAATATTACACAGTAAATTGGCATTGTAAATACTTTGATATAGTTAATGTACTGTAAATGTTCAACAACAACAAAAGCCTGCACATGACACTTTTTCCATGTTCTACCAGCATAACTATGCTAGCATAACTTGTCTATAATTTTGAATACAATCCTTTTGAGAACCATTTGTTCAGCTGTTGTATTTCCATTTCCTTCTTCCCTTCTTACTTTCCATCCTTTTCTCTCTCTCTATCTACTATACTAAATCACTACTATACTTTTACCATCAGTTTATACCATTCTTTACCCTCAATTAAACAAACAAGCTACAAAACACTGTGTGAATCACCTTGTCCAGGTCTTTGAAACAAGAATACACTGCACCAGAAATAACCTTGCAGGATAACAGAGCAGGTATTTATGCAAAAGTGTCTGAAGCAAAGGCTGGGTAAAATGGATTACTGCCGCCCAGAGCCGCTGAGCAGCTCACCAGCAGCACTAATAGCCTGTCCCCATATATTCAGTCATTCCCATCTGCTTTGATTTAATGCCTATTACCCAGCCTCCTCCACAGCCTCTGAGCTCTGATTGGTCCACTTACGTGCTAAGCCCAGGCAGCTTATAGTATTTGTAAAACGTGAGACACAAAGAAAGCTTGTTCCTTTGCTGAAAGCAGTGTGCGTGTGTGTGTTTGTTTGGAGGATGTAAACCCATACGGTACGTACCTTTCAGAGCAGGTTCATCATCACAGAGGGTCTCCATCCTGTGGACGGTTAAACACAAAGAGGGCAGTCTGGCACCTGAGAGGAAAGAAAAGATCACAAGCAGGGGATTTGAACTGGATAGCAGGCACTACAGAATAGGACCTGGGGTCTGGACTGAAACAAGAACTGACTGACATACGTGTTTTGGATAACAGCTGGGGATGATATGATCTGTCATGTGGAGGACGCAGAGGCCGATGAGCTTATCAATGAGCTTGTGCTTCTGTCTGTGAAAGAACCAAGAAACACATCTAACACCACTGCCAAGCAGAGCCAAAATGCCTTCATTTAAAGGTAATGTGTCTTTTTGCTTTACGCAACATTCTTTTCTATTTATACTGAATGGTAAAAAGATGCTGGAATTAATTTTATTGTAATATTTTCCATCTAACTATTGAATCTATGTGCAAACATGTATGTATATGAGTTTCTTTATTGACAAAAGTTGCCTCTAGTTAATGGGACAGATTCTTTATTATAGAAATGCTTAGAGTTACATGTATCCCATTTTCCCTCTCAGCTTCAGCTTATGAGGCTTGTTGCCTTCTGGAAAGACATGCAACGACGTGAAACATTGATGTTTAATCCTTGTTGACAGCAAACTCCATAATACAGCTCATGGATATCGTTACATAACATCGTGTCCACTCTTGGCATAATTTTTCAGTCTTAAATTTATGCTTTTTGATACATAATGTGAGTTGCCGGAACCAATGAATGATATCTAAAACTGAACAGAGGGTTATAAGATGAGCTCTTTGTGATATATTAAACTGACTAGTTTTTTTTCAGTCTTTCTCAAATTTAAGATTATAAAAAGTAGTTAATAATTGCATTAAAATGCTAACATCTTTGATGGTTGTGCTGACAGTCCTATAATAGGAGCTTTATGCACTATTTAGTTACACAGTAAGTTTCTCTGGTAACTAAGATACATCTTTGTGTTAAACGTCTAGGAGGTGACAAAGTCAGACAGCCTTTGCAGGGTGTATTTCTAGGCCTCTGACACTCAGCTGAGGTGGCTTTTAGCCCCTAAGACCAGGCCACACGTCTGGTGCCAGGACCCTGCTGCTAACAAAGTCAGCCGGAGGTTACTGTCATAGGGCAGCATAATGTCACTGTATCTCTTTCACTGATTCTGTAGTTGTGATCAGAGATACTGCATGTTATAAGCAGCCATGGGGAATTGCTTGGCAAAACGTGTGTTTTCATTTTAATATAAAAGTTTAGTGATTTTATTTTTTGTTTTGTCATTTTTATTTTTTCGCCATTTTCATTTTATTTAAAGTTTTATTAATTTTGTTGTGCATTTTTATTTTTATTTTTTTTCATTCATTTATTTTTGTCAAAAAAATAATTTGTCAAAAATGTCTATATCGTTTTTTTTTTTCAATTTTAGGTTTATTTTAGTACATCAGTATACTAATTATTTTTGTTAGCCTACTCTACACAGCATTTCTCTCATAACAAGTACGACAAGTGTTGGTTGAGCACAGACCTGTTAGTACACAGGTTTTATTTGGTTCACAACAGGACATAACTGATCAGACTGAGGAGCAATCCAATAACCTGATTAATCAAACCCGCTGTGCTGATTTAGCCTTATATAACACCCACCTCGAGACAGCGGGGTCCAAAAGTCTGTTCTTTAAAAGTTCTTTACCCTGAAAAATAATAAAAAAAGACAAAAATATTTAAATATCAAAAGGAAAGTTATGATGTAAAACAAATGTGACATTGATCATGTGTATCTTTGCACATAAAGAAGTTTTCGCTTCCACTGAAGCTCAAGGTGCTCTTTGGATCATTATCATGATTTCATGATTAAGTTGTACACAACAAACCACTAGAAACTTTGAAATTCACTTCATTTTCAATTCAACGTTTCACTTAAATTGTAATACAATTTGTAATGGGAAAAAAAGTTAATTAGGAGGGGAAAACACATAAACATTTTTACTGGTATTCTCTGACTTTGACAGCACTGAAAAATAAATCACCAAAAAACACATTCATATCAATCATAAGTAGTAGATGCTTAAATTTATTTCATTTGTATTGCTCCTGTGTTCTATCCTCTTACTTTTTCATATAATGGGACTGATCCTTTGGAAGCAAACCTACTTTCAAGATGATTTTTTTAAAATCAGTTAATTCTCTTTATCCCTTTCTTCTCCTTGAGTAAGACTTTTGTTGTTAGCGCTCATTTACAGCATTACCGGCGTGTGTGAGAGGCTCATGTTTTGCGCTCATCTGTAATTCAGCAATTGTTGACAGGAATACACCTAAAAACATACCTTTTGTTAAAAATGTACTATAAAGAAAGCTACAATTCAGTGGTATGTGCAGCAGCAACGTGTCAGTGAAACCCAAGAACCGCTCAGTATTCGGTTACAGGAGATTTCACTGGTTTTAGTTTCCTGTGAACTCCAGGCCTTGGTGGGGTTTGTCGGTATTGTGTATAGGTGTGTAGGCAGGTATGACCTGCTTTTCCCAGCCTGTGGCTCCAGACTAGTCCTTCACCTCTCTTGAGTCATTGTGTAGGGCCAGATTCTAATTACAGCCCGAGTGGGTGTGTGAGCACAGCAACAAAGGGAGAGCAACATGGAAGCCTCTGTAAGGTGGACAGAGGATGCTCTGTCCGCAGGTAAAACTATCCTTTTGGAGCTCCCGTAGCAATCACAGAGCTCTGTTGAAGGGGGAAGGGGGTAATTTCTTACACCCTGATGAGGGAACCTTTATTCACTATACCGTCTCAAGAACAATGGAAGGAGCTCTGCTAAATATGTCAGCTGATAAGCCGGTGTCAGTCGCTTGTAAAAGATGTTTTTACTTTAGCATTGGGGTCATGTTCGTGAGGGTTATCCTCATGAGAAAGATTCACAAAAGAATCCGCTGTCTCGCTGCCACAAAGTCTTGTTATTCCACACCTACAGGCTACTGTATTGAGTAATTTATGTCAGTTGGATGGCACTGCTGTCGTTAAATTGATTTTTTTTAATCATCCACTGACAAGATGTACAATGCAGGCACATAATAGCATTTTTATAGGCGTGAGGTTATTAGATTCAGCTCAGGCCTAAAAATGAGGTCATAAAAACAGAATTTCCTCAGGGTCAACTTAGTCCTTCAGTAAGAGAGAACCTCAAAGTAAGATAAAAACGAACAGTCAGCAGGCTATTAACACAAAATAAACCACTAAAGGGTGATCAGGACTCTGGGTCTTGTATCAAGCTGAAGGGTTTATTTTGCTGACTTATTGTAATGAATACTTGGTCTTGGTGGGTTAGTCACCAAATAAATTAGAAATATGAAATATTAAATTGAGTAAAAATATATATTTTTATTATGTGCAAAGAGACTGCAGGGTGATAAAAGTCATGACATCCACTGACAAGATGTACAATGCAGGCACATAATAGCATTTTTATAGGCGTGAGGTTATTAGATTCAGCTCAGGCCTAAAAATGAGGTCATAAAAACAGAATTTCCTCAGGGTCAACTTAGTCCTTCAGTAAGAGAGAACCTCAAAGTAAGATAAAAACGAACAGTCAGCAGGCTATTAACACAAAATAAACCACTAAAGGGTGATCAGGACTCTGGGTCTTGTATCAAGCTGAAGGGTTTATTTTGCTGACTTATTGTAATGAATACTTGGTCTTGGTGGGTTAGTCACCAAATAAATTAGAAATATGAAATATTAAATTGAGTAAAAATATTTTTATTATGTGCAAAGAGACTGCAGGGTGATAAAAGTCATGAAAAAACTTTTTTGTTGTGGAGCTAGACTTCAGTTTTTTTAATGTCTACTACATATAAACTACCAGTAGGGGGCAATATCAGTTCCCACAAAATCCCAGTTTCTAGCCTTAGGGGGTAGAGGAAATAGATGGGATGTCCATTTATCTCTGCTCTCAGTTCCTCTCTCCAATAGCTATTTGTGGATCACATTTAAAAAGCTAATTTTGTCATAAATTAGTGCTGTGTGCATCGAAAATTCAGTCATGCAGCTACATTTTTTGGTAATATTGTTGCTGTGTTTTGTATAGTACAATGCTCAAACACTGTGTTCGGTTCATATAATATAATATAATATAATATAATATAATACAATAGTACTTGTGTCCTATATTTCTCCACCAGCTGCTTATACACTTTAAAAATAAATCAAATATTTCCATGTGAAAAAGATTAACAAGTGGAATCTTAGCAATCCTCCAATAGCTGAATAAAGCCATTGAGAGTCAGTTCCTGTGCTTTGAAATGACTGTGAAATGGTACACACTGTGTATTGAGAGAGAAAGCAAAACTTCAGGATGGATTGGTTAGCAAGCGGTACATTGAAAGAAATCAGTGTGTTTAATCATATACTGACGGTAAAAGCACTTATCCTTTCGTATAGTCAACATTGTGCTATCTGAAATGAAGCAGTACTGATTATCTTCCTCTCAGGGTTTCTATCAGACCCTGTCTGGTCTCTTGAAGGTGACAAAGTGCAAAGCGTAGTGGTAGTTGACAGTTTGCCGGTTAAATTTAGACGTGTGAGCGAATGTCTGACAGGCTCAAGCAACCCTAGCAGGGACAAGGAACCTCCCAAAATGGTACTCAATGAAATATGTGGCATGTCTGCAGGGTGACCTCCTTAATGCGATCAGAGTCGGTATCAGATTAATTCCTATTGATGTTTTGGTTCATCCACACCTTTTTGACCTGTTTTACAAACAAATGAACAATACTAAAGAAGTGATTACGACCAATTCAAAACTGGAACTAAAGGCACAGTCCACCCCAAAATGAAATGAATATTTAATCTCCCTCATGCTATTCCAAACCTGTATAACAGAAGATATTTTGAAAAAAGTATGTGGCATATGCAGTCACCACATTGCAGATTATTCTGCCAATAGCCAGTGCTAGGATTATGTAATCAGATTCCAAAACTTGTAATTAGACTTTATTATATTTTAAAATGCTGATAATCAGATTAGAGTTACTTTTTATGGATTACATGATTACATATTATTCACACAAAGTAAATTATTCAAAATGTATTTTTTTTCGTGAACCCGAGTTTAGGTAATCCTGCTGTAATGTAATGCTTAATGTATTTCATGATATTGATAACATAAAGAATGGAATATATCTTCTTTCTCCATGTTTTTTTAATCAGTATGGTACACAATAATCACATTCAAGTCTATATAAGTCAAAAGTAATCTAAAAGTAATCAAAAAGTACCCAGACTACATTACCTAATATGTCAAGTCAAGTCACCTTTATTTATATAGCGCTTT